CAGATCACTTGAGTCCAGGAGTTTGAGATCAGCCTAGGCAACATGGCAAAACCCTCATCCTTACAAAACATACAAAAATTAGCCAGGCATGGTGGTACGCGCCTGTAGTCTCAGCTACTTTGGGGGCAGAGGTGGGAGGATCATTTGAGCCTGAGATAGCAAGGCTGCAGTGAGCCTTATTTGCGCCACTGCACTGGAATCTTCAGCAAGATAAAGTGAGAGACCCTGTCTCAAAAAAAAAAAAAAAAAATTATCTATTAAACAAGGAAGTTGGACCTGCTACCTACCTCCATTTCTATTATTTTAGTAAAACATTATCATGCCAGTTCATTATATAGTTTTAAAGATGCACTTCTCTCTTATTCTCATAACCATAAGGCTGAAGTATTAAATCAGTAGTAAAAATGACCTAAACTTAAATTTGTTAAGTTTTAAGTTCCCAAACCATGTTTGTTGTGAACAGTAAATAAATTACTGGAATTTATTAGCAAATCACAATATCTGAGAGAATGGAAATTTACTAAGATATGGAATAAATAGTTTAAGGAAGGAGCTTTTGTGGAAAAATAGAGAAGTTGGAGAGGAATGGAAGTTGTATCTAGAAGAATTCAATTGATATAGTGATCAAATACTATAAAAACTCACTTCCAAAGTATCTATTTATAGAACAAAAGTCTTCTGAATCTTTATTGATACTTCTGTTACTCAGATTCTGTCTAAAAGAGAATAATAGGCAAGAAGAATTACTTGTCTTTGGATTTTACCTATTATCTTTGTATCTCTTTTTTTAGATAAGATTTACTGATTGTAAATCTCAGTTAAATACAGTTTTTGTGTCTGTGTGAAACTGATAACCAGAATCTTGCCAGTGTAGGAAAGTTGATTTAAGAAAAAGTTTGCTTTCTAAGCCTTCTGTGCTGTTACCTTTGATGAGATGATAATCTCTTTGCTTTCTTCTGCTGCTTGCCTTTCTGCTACTCATCAGTATCTGATCAGGGCAATAGAAACATGACGTGTATCAGACTTGTTTGGAGCGCCAACAAAATCTGAAGGGAGAGGAAATTAAAAATGTGGCTGAGTATTTCATTTATGACACTTTTGGTTCCTATCTTATTTTACAACCATCTTAAAGTCAGTTCACATTTAGCCAAACATTTCCCTTCATTTCTATGTATAATTATAAGCTTATTGATTTTTAGCAGTTGGTGTATGTGAATGTTTAATAATAAGCAAGTATTGGATTAGGATGTTTTCTAAAACAGTGTTCCCATTAATCTAAATCTTGATATAAAGTATGGGTTTTTATGAAATGCTTCCTCAGTACCGAACCCTAGTTGACCTTCATACTTGTTTTTGAAAGAATGAGGTAGAAAACGAACTTGCGTCTGAGTCCCTCCTAAACCTAATCATCATTTGTTTTTTATCCTAGAGTTATAGAATGTTTCTAAACACTTCCCTCCACCCTCTATTAATGTCAACTATGAATAGAAACTTTCAGTGGCTAGGCACGGTGGCTCATGCCTGTAATCCCCACACTTTGGGATGCCAAGGCAGGAGGATTCCTTGAGCCCAGGAGTTCGAGACCAGCTTGGGGAGCAAAGTGAGACCCCCCCATCCCCACAAAGTTAGCTGGGCATGGAGGCACACACTTGTGGTCCCAGCTACTCAGGAAGCTGAGGTGGAGGATTGCTTGAGCCCAAGAAGTAGAGGCTGCAGTGAGCTGTTGGTAGTACCACTGCACTCCAGCCTGGGTGACAGAGTGAGACCATGTTTCCAAAAAAGAAATTATTTTTCTCTCTGCTTACTTATTTGAATTTTAAAAATTTGGTGAAATAAAAATTAAAAAAAAAATGTTGTGGGTACATAGTAGATGTACGTAAGATATTTTGGGTTACGTAAGATATTTTGATACAGGCATGCATGCATGTTAGTCACATCAGGGTAAAGGGGTATCCTTTTATCCTTTGTGTTAGAAGCATTTATCTTTTGTGTTACAAACAATCTAGTTATACTCTTCTAGTTATTTGTAAATGTGCACTTAAATTATTTTTTACTGTTGGCCAGGTATGGCGGCTCACACCTACAATCCTAGTACTTTGGGAGGCCAGGGTGGGTGGATTACTTGAGGTCAGGAGTTCGAGACCAGCCCGGCCAACATGGTAAAATCCTGTCTCTATTAAAAATACAAAAATTAGTCAGGTGTGGTGAGGCATGTCTGTAGGCATACCAGCTATCGGGAGGCTAAGGCAGGAGAATTGCTTGCATCTGGGAGGCGAAGGCTACAGTGAGCTGAGATTGTACCACTGCACTCCAGCCTGGGCTGGAGTGAGACTCTGACTAAAAAAAATATATGTTTATTTATTTATTTTTACTGTAGTCACCCTGTTGTGCTAGCAAACACTAGATCACCTTCATTCTTTGTATTTTTTGTGTCCATTAACCCTCTCCCGACCATCCACTCTGTCACTACCCTTCCAGCCTCTGATAACTGTCCTTCTACTCTCTACCTCCATGAGTTGAATTGTTTTAATTTTTAGCTCCCACAAATAAATGAGAACATGCAAAGTTTGTTTTTCTGTGCCTTATTTCATGTAACATGATGACGTCCAGTTCCATCCATATTGTTAGAAGTGATGGGATCTCATTCTCTTTTTATGGCTGAATAGTACTCCATTGTGTATATGTACCACATTTTCTTTATCCATTTGTCTGTTGATGGACACTTAGGCTACTTCCAAATCTTTGCTATTGTGAATAGTGCTGCAGTAAACATGGGAGTGCAGATATCTCTTTAGTATTATTGATTTCCTTTCTTTGGGGTATGTACCTAGGAGTGGGATTGCTGAATTGTAAGATAGCTCTATTTTTAGCTTTTTGAGGAACCTCCAAACTGTTCTTCATAGTGGTTATACTAATTTACATTCCCATCAACAGTGTACAAGGGTTCCCTTTTTTCCACATCCTTGCCAACCAGCTCCTTGGCAGAGTAGGTTAATGTGTTAACTTGCCTACTTCAGAGTTAAACACCAACAACAAAAAAATGTTGAATTTAAGACCTGGGTTCTAGAAAAAAACAGAATCTAACTCAGATGGTATAAGAGACTTTAATGCAGGGACTGCGGAGGTGCAGTGGATTAAGGGAACCTGTAAGGCATGTTTTTGCTAGCAACAAGGAAGTCCAAAGAGGCAGGAAAAATAACAGTGCTGTTGGAGCCTTGTGAGAGCTATGAAGAGGGTGCCTCACAGCAATCATGGTGGTAGAGGGATGCAGCTTCTGCCAGAAAGTGTGGCCATGAGGAGGGAGGGAGCTAGGAAGAAATAATCCAGTGTTTCTCTGCCTTCTTATCTTCTGTCAATGGCTGGACAGCACCGGAACCCAGAGGCATATCTGTTGCGGTCAACATCATTGGGCTCAGAGTAGGGCAGAAAGATATTGGGTGATAAGGCAGTTGCAGTAAGATAATAAGCAACACAACTACTAGTGATTTTAGGTGTTGACTTCAGGTAATGTAATATTTTACACAATTTCTTATCTGTTAACTATGCATACCTTACTGGGTTGATGGGGGCATTAAATGAGACAACATGTGAAAGTACTATCATAGTGTCTTTGTCTTGTGAGTATATTAAAAGTTTTGGTAAGGCGTGGATTTGAAAAGCTCAGCTTCCTTTTACTTGGTACTGTGTTAAATTTATTTTGTAGGAACTTTGGTTGCCACCATACTTTTAAATATATGTTTTCCAATAATTTTTGAGAAGCGAATGGCACCATTATTATTAGATAGTTCCTAAGATTTAGTTTCTCATTTTTTATAGAGCCAGGAGCCTGAAAACCTAAGTCCTAGTTCAGGCTATACCACTATTTGTGGCATAGGTCTTTGTGGGAATTATTTTTACTTTGCCTCTCTGTACTTTTCCTTTCTGATGAATTGGAGTAATAATAATTAGTAAATGTTTGATTCTATTATGGTAAAATAATAGTTGTCAAGCACTTAAATGAAGACTTAAATGATATGTATGTTAACTTTTTTTTACTATCGTTCATTTTGAAGAGTATCAGAGCCTCAGATTAAGAGTGATCGGATGGTTTTTACTTTGTTGCATTTTCTGTGTGGAATTATGTAGCTCATAAGATATTATTTTGTATGTGTGTGTTATGTGAGTAAAGTGATTATGCTCATGTGTATTTTAGTTAATATGTGTGTGAATGTAAATTTTCTTTTCTTTTTTTGAGACAGTCTCGCTCTGTTGCCCATGCTGGAGTGCACTGGCATGATCTTAGCTTACCGCAACCTCTGCCTCCCAGGTTCAAGTGATTCTCCTGCCTCAGCCTCCTGAGTAGCTGGGACTACAGGCGCGCACCACCATGCCTGGCTAATTTTTGTGTTTTTAGTAGAGATGAGGGTTTCACTGTGTTGGCCAGGCTGGTCTCGAACTTCGGACCTCGTGATCTGCTGCCTCAGCCTCCCAAAGTACTGGGATTACAGGCGTGAGCCACCGCGCCTGGCTGTAAATTTTCTTAAAACTATCTTTCTGAAACAAACTCTAAGACACCCTATTTATTGCCCAGTAGTAGGTCTTGTCTATTTCACTCTTGCCATGGACAGAGCACTGCTTACATCTGAACTTATGGATGAGGAAGGTAGTTTTGAGGTGTGGCAGCTGTGTCCTGGTAAAAGATATGTCAGACTTTACCCTGCTACTATTACCACTGATGTATCCTTATTGCCTACTTCTTTTTTCTGAGACAGCAGTGATGCCTTGTCAATTTTGCCTCCTAATTTTTACATTTGTAGACCACAGCAAGATCAGGGCAATCCATTTTGAAGAAAACTGTGACCACTTTAAAGAACTTTTTATTTTTCAAAACTCCTTCAAAAATGTTAACTTTGAAATTAAATAAATTCCTATTTTATTTCATAAACTCAGGTTAGCACTGTCTTTGTAAATTCCAAACTGAACCTTTTTCCATTACTGACTAAATCTTAATTATTTCTCACCAGACGGTCTGGCAAATCCCGAAGCAGAAGCCCATATTCATCTAGGCATTCAAGATCTCGTAGCAGGCACAGGTTGTCTAGGTCCAGAAGTCGTCATTCTAGTATTTCTCCTAGCACACTAACTCTGAAGAGTAGCCTGGCAGCTGAATTGAACAAGAATAAAAAAGCACGAGCAGCAGAGGCAGCAAGAGCCGCAGAAGCAGCGAAAGCTGCAGAAGCAACTAAGGCTGCTGAGGCCGCTGCCAAAGCTGCAAAAGCTTCAAACACTTCTACACCTACCAAGGGGAATACAGAAACTAATGCCAGTGCATCGCAAACAAACCATGTGAAGGATGTGAAGAAAATGAAAACTGAGCATGTACCTTCTCCCTCAAGTGGTGGAAACTTAAAAAATGACAAAGCAAAAACAAAGCCACCTCTTCAGGTAACAAAGGTGGAAAATAATTTGATTGTAGATAAAGCCACCAAGAAAGCAGTCATAGTTGGAAAGGAAAGTAAATCTGCTGCTACGAAGGAGGAACCAGTATCTCTTAAAGAGAAAACCAAACCACTTACACCAAGCATAGGAGCCAAGGAGAAGGAGCAACATGTAGCTTTAGTGACCTCTACATTACCACCATTACCTTTGCCTCCCATGCTGCCTGAAGATAAAGAAGCTGATAGGTAAGTGCAAAAATATTTGTCAATAACCTGTTTAAAGAAAAATGTAAATCTGAAGTGAGAAATGATTTGGCCTCCCCAGTCCCCTCAAAACAACCTTAGTAAAAAAGACTACAAGTAACTGAATGAATTCTGTTTATTATATGCATCTTAAAATGAAGTACATTTGCATAAAGGTTGGCAAAATTAAAGTTTATGTTAAGAAATTCAGGGAAATATTGCCATTGCCTTGGGATCCAGTGAATATTTCAATATGAGTTTGGGTATTAGAAATGCCAGTATTCTCTTTGGTTTAGTTTTCCTTGATGATGCAGTCAGAGACAGGACATTTTATGAGTGATCTGGCCCTGGTTAATATAAGTCTCATAAGCATTTGTCTCATTTATTTCTGAGTTTCTTCAGTGGCCTTGTAAATTTATCACTGTCAGTGGCTTTATTGTCACTTTTTAGTGTAGTCTTTTCGTAACTTTTTTTTTTTTAATTCTTCCCAAGCCAGTGTATTTCTTAATCTTAACTCTTTTACTTAAAAAAAAAATTTTTTTTAGCCTGTCTTGCACTTAGGGATTAATCACATTATATTATAGAAAACTCATAATGTGGCTGGGCACGGTGGCTCAAACCTGTAATCCCAGCACTTTGGGAGGCCGAGGTGGGTGGATTACCTGAGGTCAGGAGTTCAAGACCAGCCTGGCCAACATGGTGAAACCCCGTCTCTACTAAAAATACATAAAACCTACCTGAGCATGGTGGTGGGTGCCTGTAATCCCAGCTACTAGGGAGGCTGAGGCAGGAGGATCACTTGAACCTGTGAGGCGGAGGTTGCAGTGAGCTGAGATTGAGCCATTGCACTCTAGCCTGGGCTACAGAGTAAGAACTTGTCTCAAACAAAACAAAACAAAGCAAAACAAAAAAACCCCAAAGAAACCCTCAAAACTCATAGTGTGATTATGCTTTCCTTTAACATGTTTAAACATTTCTATTATGAACATTGGGGGTATGGCATTTTTTAGTTGAGAAACATTATATTCTTAAGAGGATGAAGGTAAGAGGGACTGTAAAGTAAATACAGCTAAGATTGTTTCTTTTATATATCCTAGGGTAGAAGAATTAGACCATTGTGTGGTTTATCTGCCTGTTACACCACTTAGCTGTTTTTATTTTTATGAAGAAGTTAGAGCTGCCACTCCTTCCCATTCCCCATTTAAAAGCAACTGTATGAGTAGTTTTCCTAGCTGACTTTAAAAAATACATATATTTTGAAAACAGATGGATAAAAATACCATGTGCACAAGTGCTTACTTTGTCATTATGAAAATTTTAGAATTTAACACAAACAAAAGTAAAATCGTAATTCTTGAATTTCATGCCCATTGAGGTGCCTTTTTAAAAATAATCAAAATGTTGGGAGACCCCATCCAATTTAATCAGGTTTATTTGATTATACTGCTATAATTGTATTTGCTGGTTTGACAGTTTTCAAGGAACACTTAAGATTCATTACAGTAGTGATTTGTAATCGTGATGAGTCCTAGAATGGGCTCTCCAGCATAGAGGGGCTTGAGTGTGGAATTGATCACTTCATTAGTGAGAGAGTAACCAGTTACTGAGAATACATGTTTGATTGAGACTGGTGGTTCTCTACTTTATTCTTTATATATGCTTTTGGAGAAATTTTTACTAGGATATTTTCAGGAACTCTGTACGTACACATGAGTACTTAATGAGGATATTCTTTATGCATCTGTCTTTAATTGGTGGCACATTTAATTCTTGGTCATTACTTTTTTTTTTTTTATTCCATCTTTTCTGTCTTCTGCTTTTTCCTCTGTTTTCTCTTCTTTCTTTGAATGTGTTTGTATGTTTAATGGACCCAGAAGTTTTTCTTGAGATTCATGAGCACTGCTACTACATGTGTATAGCCAAAGATTAATTCATCACCAATGGAACTTTCCTTATTTTGATGTTTGTAATTTAACTACCAAAATGTAAACATGTGAGGAAAAGACTTTATATTCTATTTTACTTTTTATAAAAGTTTTTAGGTGATTAAATAAAAATGTATTTTAAAAAGAAATGGTTACAAGTGATTGGTTTTAGAAATAAATGGATGTCGAAGGGAATGGATAGCACAGGAGACTTATTTTATATTTAATATTTATAATACTGTTAGAAGTACAATACAGTTTGTTAGTGGGCTATAGTAGAAAGCTTAGTTTTAGTGCTAGTTGTACCTCCTACTACTGTCATGACTTAATCTTTCTGTGCTTCAGTCCATTCATCGGTGAAAATATTTACAGTTTAACCTTACAGATTAGTTATAAAGATGAAATGAGTTGATGGACTCAGTTTTGCAAGCTGTAAAGTGTTATGCACTTAGTTATTGTAATTAGTCATCGTATAAATCAGCGCTGCAGGAAATATTAAAAATATTTAAAACTGCTTTAGATTACTGAAAAAAGTAAAAATTACAAAATATGATTTACATTGTGTAATATATAAACCATTATATGTGTAACATGTAGATCTGTTGCTTAAGGAATAGACCTAGTGCTTCGTTTGAAAAGGATTGGTTTTTGTAAAAGAGGAACTATTGGTTTTCCATCCCCTTTTATAATGGAGGGGGACCACCCCCAGGCCATTTTTTTCCCATGTATCTGAAAGTAATAGTCATGATAATTTTATGTTTACAAGTTTCTTTTTAGTAACCATTGTATACTTTTTATTTTTTGCTGAACAGCTATTAGTTGAAAGTGGTTTATAAACTATTTCTGTTGAGGTAAAGAAACAATCTTTTCTGTTATAACATGGTTTAGGAAACCTGAATATAGGAGGTATCTTTATTTACTTGTTATTCACTGTAAATTTAAAGATAATTTTAAAGAAGAATGAGTAACGGTCTGCATAATCTCATTGCATATTTTAAGGAAAGCTTTTGATCTTTGCTTTCTTTGAACATGCCTGTGTCTATATTCCTGGTTAACTGTCACTGTTGTATCCACACATACATTAGCAAAAGGGCGTGTGTGTGTTTTGGGTGGCCTCTTGATTTTGCAAATCTATACTCAACTTGTTTTTGCTGTTTTATTATATATCCAAGTAAAATCTCCCCTTCCCTCATACTTTTTTTGTTTTGGAAGTATTCAAGCACTTAGAAAAATTGAAGAATAATAAAATTAGCATCTGTATAACTACTGGATGGTAATTATCTAGTTGGGTAATCTAATTACCCATCTAGATTCAGCAAATGTTAACATTTTGTTTTATATCCTCCATCTCAACGGGTGTGATGGCTCACAGTTGTAATTAATCAGCACTTTGGGAGGCCAAGGTAGGCAGATGGCTTGTACTCAGGAGTTGGAGACAAGCCTTGGCACGTGGCAGTACCCCATGTCTTCAAAAAATACACAAATTAGCTGGATGTGGTGGTGCACACCTGTAGTCCCAGCTACTTAGGGAGGCTAAGGTGATAGCATCACCAGAGCCCGAGAGGTCGGGGCTGCGGTGAGCTGTGATTGCATCACTGTACTCCAGCCTGGGTGACAGAGTGAGACCCTGTCTCAAAAAAAAAAAAAAGAAAAAAAGAGATTACACACACACACTCACGCACATTCCATCTCTAGTTAAGAGAACTAATAAGGGTGTGTGTGTATGTATACACTTTCTTTCCCCCCTGAGATGAAGTCTTGCTCTGTTGCCCAGGCTGGAGTGCAGTGACAGGAACTCAGCTCACTGCAGCCTCTGCCTCCCCAGTTCAAGCAGTTCTCCGGCTGCAGCCTCCTCCCCAGTTGAAGCAGTTCTCCTGCCTCAGCCTCCAAAATAGCTGGGATTACAGGTGCGCACCACCACGCCTGGCTGATTTTTGTAGTTTTAGTAGAGACAGGGCTTCACCGTGTTTGCCAGGCTTCTTTTGAACTCCTGACTTTGTGATCTGCCTGCCTCGGCCTCCCAGGCAGTGAGATTAGTGGTGTGCTGGGATTATGGGTGTGAGCCACCACGCCTGGCTGAGTATACATTTCTTTTTGCTGTACCTTAAATACTTCAGTCATCTCCCAGGAATAAGGTCAGCCTCCTGCTTGATCACAGTATCATTGTGATAACAAGAAAATTAATAGTAGTTAATAATCTAATGGAAGTGAACAATAATATCAACCACTATATGTAATCAATAATCAGTACTCACCACCCTAGCCCCATGACTTTTTGAAGAGTCTAGACCAGTAATCTTATAGAATGTCCCACCTTTGGATTTATCTGATTGTTTCTTTTTGGTATCATTTAACTTCTCCAACCCCTTTAATTCCCATAGTCTGGAAATTACTTGTGCTTTGTTTAGATCAAGAATAAACAGTTTTTTAGCCAGAATAGATAAGAGATAATTTTATGTAGTTTATGCTATTGTTACAGGGGAAACAAAATACCGGACTGTCTTATTCTACTAGTAGTGATGTGATCATTTGGTTAAGGTGATGACCAACCTTAAGGTCTCTACATGTATGAGGGAGCATACCTGGAGTTTGCTTTGCAGTTAGAAGTGAGCTGTAGGCTAATACTTCTGACAATGATTGAATATCCTTTTTCCCAACAACCTATCACCAAATGGTTTAGCAGCCATTAATGATATTTGTCTAATTCAGTTACTATAGTAGGGGCTGCAAATGGTGACTTTTTTTTTCCTATTGCTGCTGCCCAAATTAAACATGGTGATTTTCTAATCCTGCCATTCATTTTAACATTAGCTGGCCCTCTTTTGTAAATACATGTTACATCCCATTTAATCATTCTACTCTTATGGATTTTTATTCTCTGTGTTACTGATAGTAATAGCCACTATTCTTTTTGACCCTCACATTGTCTGAAATTTAGCCAGTGCAAGCTCCTGTAAGCCGACTCCTTTATTATTTTGACATGACCTCATTTGTTTTTTAGTGTTTCCTTGCTTTCTAGTCAAAGGTATATCTTAGGCTCACTTTGAATTT